CTTTTGTTTTTGCTTCTCTTTTGCTATTTATTTCTTGTAATTTCGAGCTGAAGAGATCAGACTTGAATAAGAAAATTTCTGCATTGTTTTCTTTAGCTTTTGGTGTGTCCAATTTCGCTAATCTCCTTGCTTGGTGTGTCCGAGCATCTCTTGGTCTGTCCAAGGATTTCCCTTCCAAGCATGTGCGAATGATGAGGTCATCGACCTAGATGCGGATGAGGAGCAGCCGAACACGGATGAAACACAAGAAGGAGCTACGGATGCACTTGGCAAGGAGAGAGAAGTTGCTGAGCTTGCCATGCCTACACTACCGGATCCACCACTTACAAGAGCTCGAGCACGCAACCTTAGAGCTAAAATCAACCTGTTCATAGATCATTGGCTGATGGAGACGTCGGATCACTTGGCTGAAACCATAACTGCCCCAAGACATGAGTTTAACTCGCTGAAGAAGACACATGACCAAGTGAAGACCATTTTGGAGATCATGTTGCCAACAACCTGAATGTGGGAGAAGACCTGAACATCTTGGCTATTGGACACTTGAAATGTGCTCTAAAAATCACATTAAAGGTGGACCATAACTTAGCCAAGAATCTGCAACAATCTAACCGTTAGAGATCATTGGAGGAGCCATGTGTCTTCTTCAGCGAGTTAAACTCATGTCTTGGGGCAGTTATGGTTTCAGCCAAGTGATCCGACGTCTCCATCAGCCAATGATCTATGAACAGGTTGATTTTAGCTCTAAGGTTGCGTGCTCGAGCTCTTGTAAGTGGTGGATCCGGTAGTGTAGGCATGGCAAGCTCAGCAACTTCTCTCTCCTCTTGCTGCTGTTTAGGCACGAATTTCCTTTTGTTTTTGCTTCTCTTTTGCTATTTATTTCTTGTAATTTCGAGCTGAAGAGATCAGACTTGAATAAGAAAATTTCTGCATTGTTTTCTTTAGCTTTTGGTGTGTCCAATTTCGCTAATCTCCTTGCTTGGTGTGTCCGAGCATCTCTTGGTCTGTCCAAGGATTTCCCTATCAATTCCTTAGTCCATTCACGTCATCTTTTGGTTTAGAAGCAAAGATCGAGTGCCTTAGAGCCAGAGACTAACTTCTGAAACCTATCCACCCTTCACAATCAAGAATCACCATCGATCGTGTGTTCTTAAGCCCGAGTGTGTATCAGAAATGGTTGTAGGTAGTATAAGTTGCCAATCTTGATTCCTTTTCCAAAGACTCGATCAGTCTTAGTATCCTGAAAAATAACACCGTTAGAATCAAAGATAACACGACAAGAAGTACCTGCAATTAGCTTAGGTATAGAAAGCAGATTGGTTTGAAACTGTGGGACATATAAAGCCGTGAGTTTTGTGTCAAAAAGAGATATAGTACCATGACCGAGAATCGGAACAGATTTACCATTTGCAACAGAGACAACACCATTACTTGTTGTGATATTTGTAAACCAAGAAGCATCACGAAACATATGTGTAGTTGCACCAGAATCAATTACTATAGAAAGAGATGTAGTGATGTTACCAGAATCTTGGTTGAAGGTTTGGAGAAGGTGTTTGAGACCCTTCAACTCTGCAGAAGTGAGATTGATAGAGCTCTCGTTTGGGACAGGTTCATGACCAGCAGTCATAGCAGCCTCGCGACGAGGAGTGTCCTTGTACCGTGATGGCTTCAAGTGGGGATTTGAAACCCAGCAGCGATCCTTTGTGTGGCCAGAATGCTTGCAGTGATCACAAAAGAAGCTTTTTCTATCCCTCAATGTGAAAGACGGCTTCTTTGTGAAGTGAGCGAGTTCAAGAGGCCCTGTGAATAAATTTCTGCCACCTTCTTCTCTCTTGATCATCATACACACTTCCTCATAGGAAGGAAGGGATGATTGACGCAAGAGGTGATAGATCAAATCATTGAACGATGGATCAAGAGTAAGAAGAATAGAGAAGACCTTATCCTCTTGCGCTCTTGTCATTACAGTAGGAGCATCTGTGCTTGTGGGGCGAATCTCCTCTAATTCAGCCCAAAGTGCAGATAATTCTCCTTGAATTTTGTTGAATGGTTGTCCATTCTGCTGCAAATTGAATAGCTTTTTCTTGAGTTCAAAGATACGGCTGATGTTCGAGAGATTACCGTAGGTTTGTTTCAGCGATTCCCACAATGACATTGCTGTGTCATTAGAGATGAAAGATTGCAGAATTGTTGAATCAAGAGAGCCCTGTAACAGAACAAGGGCTTGGCTATCAAGTTGCTTCCATTGAGCATATTCATCCGCAGCCTTTTTGTTTCGGTTCTCCACTTCCACGGGATTGTCCTCTCCTGTAGCCATTTGTGGTGTTGGAGGCATCCTTTTGGTGGAAACGTGGGCCCATAATCCTTTACTTGTGAGGACTGCAGTTGCAGCCTTAGTCCAATAGAAGTAATTATCACCGTTCAAAGTGATCGGAATGAGCTTCGGTTGAGAATCCATTGTAAGCCTGTACCTTGGGGAAACATTGTCGAACGGTTTTTCCGATTTCTTCCACTATTTATGAGCACCCTTTTGATTTGGTTCATTCGGATGTATGGACTTCTCCTTGCTTTTCTCGTGATAATTTCAAATATTTCGTCACGTTTATAGATGAGAAATCAAAATATACGTGGATTACCTTTTTGAAACACAAAAGTGATGTCTTTGGTGCATTGAAAAACTATCTTGCTTATGTTTCTACCCAATTTGGTGTTAAGATCAAATGCTTGCGAACCGACAATGGCGGTGAGTACATGAGCACAAGATTCCGTGACTTTCTTCTTCATGAAGGCATAGTTCATCAACGCTCTTGCTCACACACTCCACAGCAAAATGGTGTTGCGGAAAGGAAGAACAGACATCTTATGGAAGTGGCGAGAACACTTCTTTTTCATCGGCATGTCCCTAAAGCCTATTGGAGTGATGCTGTGAAAGTTGCTTGCTATTTGATCAACCGTTTACCAACCCAAGTGCTCAATGATAAATCCCCTCATGAGGTACTCTTTGATCGGTGTGATTCTCTTTCCCACTTACGTGTTTTTGGTTGTGTTTGCTTTGCTCGTATAGATGAAGGCCAACGCAACAAACTTGATCCTCGAAGCATCCGATGCATTTTTCTTGGCTATCCCGCTGATCAGAAAGGTTACACATGTTTTCATCCACCCACCAACCGCATTTATGTTTGTCGGGATGTCATATTTCATGAGGAATTAAGCTACTTCGAAAACAAAGATTGGAAGCCCTTGGAAAGTCTCACCGAACGTGGGAAAGACTACAATGCTCCTCTTATGCAATTGCTCACAACAATTCAACACTTAGGCGTTCAACCTGATCACCACAAATCTACATCTTCCACTTTACCTCTACATGCAGATGGTATCCCAACTCCTACTCTTAATCCTTTGAACAATGTTATTCCCACTAACAATGCAGGTGGTGATCATCTTGAGGAGAACAACCCCGTTGTAGTTTTGACTGAGGGGGAACTTTACACCCGACCATCGGATGAGGGGGAACATCACACCTCGTCATCAGATGAAGGAGAATTACTGCCAGACTTACAGGTGCAGGTACCTTCTCCTGTTGTTTTGGACGTTGATCACGTCGCTGCACCTGCCCCAATATCAGCAGCACCTACTCTCCGCCGTGGTACAAGGGACAGAAAACCTCCATCCGAATGGTTGAAATCATCCTCAACACCACAAGCTCAACTAAGTGTTGCTCATCCAATAGAGAAGTATTCCTCCCTCTCTCAATTTGATACTACTGAATGTAGTTTTCTGAGTACAGTCAAACAGGGTCTTGAACCTAGCTCTTACAACCAAGCTAAGGATATAGAAGTCTGGCAACAAGCTATGGATGAAGAGATTGTTGCACTTGAAAAGAATGAAACTTGGGAGATAGTTGACCTTCCTCCAAACAAACGTCCATTTGGATGCAAATGGGTGTACAAGATCAAATATCTCAGCAATGGAGACATTGAAAGACACAAAGCTCGGCTTGTTGCCAAAGGCTACACTCAAACGCATGGCAAAGACTACACCGAAACATTTGCACCAGTCGCTAAGCTACCCACGGTAAGAGTGTTGCTTTCTTTGGCAATTAACCTTGGTTGGGAATTGTGGCAGATGGATGTCAAAAATGCTTTCCTCCAAGGAGATCTTACGGAAGACATATATATGACTCCTCCACAAGGCTACAAACGCACACTCAAATCTGGACAGGTTTGCAAACTCCGCAAAAGCATCTATGGTCTGAAACAATCTCCTCGAGCATGGTACTCGAAGTTGCATGACGCATTAATTGCAAAAGGCTTCACACGCAGTGAATCAGACCACTCTCTCTTCACACTTACAGGCCAATCGAGTATCATTGTTCTCTTAGTTTATGTTGATGATATTATATTATCCGGTAATGATATATGTGGTATTCTTGATACTAAAGCATACTTACACCGTGTTTTTGACATCAAAGATTTGAGTTTACTTAAATATTTTCTTGGTATTGAAGTTACTCGAACTACTAATGCTTTATTCTTGTCTCAGCGCAAATACATTTTAGATTTGCTTAAAGAAACAGGAAAACTTGGAGCTAAACCCGTTCGGACGCCAATTGAAGAACACTTCAAAGATCAACGCGAGGGGGAATCATTTCCAGATCCGGAACAATATCGACGCGTTGTAGGTAAGCTAATCTACCTCACTATTACACTCCTGATATAAGTTTCGTTGTGCATCAGGTTAGCCAATGGATGCACTCGCCAACGACGACTCATTGGAACATGGTGGACCACATTCTCAAATATATAAAGGGAACACCAAACAAAGGCATATGGATGGCAAACAACAACAACACTGAGCTTGTGGCTTATTGTGATGCGGATTGGGCCGGAGACCGAAATGATCGAAAATCAACAACGGGCTATTGTACATTCGTCGGAGGAAACTTGGTGACTTGGAGAAGCAAGAAGCAAACAGTGGTCGCACGATCAAGCGCGGAAGCTGAATATAGAGCAATGGCCAACACTACAAGCGAGGTTCTATGGCTTCGTCAACTACTAGGAGACTTCGGCATCAAGATTGGCTTACCAACACCAATGCACTGCGATAATCAAACGGCATTACACATAGCAGCCAACGCAGTCTTTCACGAACGTACAAAGCACATCGAGGTGGATTGTCATTTCATTCGAGAGAAGATCACACAAGGATTGATAACAAAAAGGTACACACGAAGTCAAGATCAACTTGCAGATATTCTTACAAAGGCTACAAGTTCTTTTGTTCTAAACAAAATTCTCTCCAAGATTGGCCTCATTGAGTTTTGCCAGCCAATCTTGAGGGGGAATGTTGGAGAATAAGAGAATGTTGAAGATGAAGACACAACTTTAGGAATTCGGATGAAAGGAAGCAGCCCAAGTCATGTTGAAGACCAAGCTATGTTCTTGGACCAAGACCATTTCATATCAAGGAGCTAACGGACCAAGACCAGATCATAGCAAATGGGCCAAAAATCAAGAAGCAATCTAGGCCCATCCAAGATTACTTTCAGACCGTTGGGAACAAAGAAGGAGACAAAATCTGATCAATTCCAGCATATTTCCTTTTTATGGCAATCCAGCATTGCCTTTTTTTGATATGTAAATGTAGCTACTTACCATTTCTTGATGTATCACGCAATGTGTATATAACTTAGGTCTGCTGTAAAGTTCAATTCAAGGGAATTAAGTGAATTTTCGTGCATATTCACCCCCTATTGATTATTCTTTCTCCTCTCTTGAACCCTAAGGCAGATTATCACAAAACCAAGATCAATCATCTTCTGTCATATTTCTTCGTCCAAATCTGTTAAACTCAATCTTCATTCTTCATTTTCTTCAGTTTGGTGCACTCAAAACATGTTTAGACGAACTCTAAACATGTTTCGACGCACTCTTAAAGTATTTTAATGTACTCTAAACATGTTTGGATGCACTCTAAACATGTTTAGATGAATTCTAAACATGTTTCGGCGCACTCTAAATATAGTTCGACGCACTCTAAAAATGTTTTAACGCACTCTAAACATATTTGGATGCACTCTTAGTATGTTTTGACGCACTTGAAACAAGTTTGGATGCGCTCTAAATATGTTTCGACGTGTTCTAAACATGTTCGACGAACTTTAAACATCTTTTATTGCACTCTAATAATGTTTCGACGCACTTTAAACATGTTTTGACGCACTCTAAAAATGTTTTGATGCACGCTAAACACGTTTGGATGCACTCTAAAAGTGTTTGGACGCACTCTATATGTGTTTCGACGCACTCTAAGTATGTTTGGATGCACTCTAAACATGTTTCGACACATTCTAAAAATGTTTCGATGCACTCTAAACATGTTTGGATGCTCTGTAAAAGTGTTTGACGCATCTAAACGTGTTTGAACGCACTCTAAACGTGTTTGAACGCACTCTAAACGTGTTTGGATGCACTCTAAGTTTGTTTTGATGCACTCTAAACATGTTTCGACGCACTCTTAAAATATTTCGATGCTCTCTAAATATGTTTGGATGCACTCTAAGTATGTTTTGAGACACTTTAAATATGTTTGGATGCACTCTAAATGTGTTTGGATGTACTGTAAACGTGGTTTGGTGCACTCAAAATATGTTTAGACGAACGCTAAACATGTTTCGACGCACTCTTAAAGTGTTTTAATGCACTCTAAACATGTTTAGATGAATTCTAAACATGTTTCGACGCACTCTAAATATAGTTCGACGCACTCTAAAAATGTTTTAATGCACTCTAAACATGTTTGGATGCACTCTTAGTATGTTTTGACTCACTTTAAACAAGTTTGGATGCACTTTAAATATGTTTCGACGTGCTCTAAACATGTTTCGATGAACTCTAAACATCTTTTATTGCACTCTAAACATGTTTCGACGCACTTTAAACAGGTTCCGACACACTCTAAAAATGTTACGGTGGTCCAGTACAGTTTAGATGGATGTATCCATTTGAGCGATTTTTTTTCCATCTGAAGAAGAAGGCAAAAAACAAAGCAGCAGTGGAAAGATCTATCGTCAAACAGTATTTGTTAGAGGAGATCTCCTATTTCAGTTCTTTCTATTTTGAATCTCATATTCAGACGAAGAAAAGGAGGGCTATTAACGAAGACGATAGAAGTTATCTCTACCACTATGATTCATGTTTCGGACTTATTCCCGAAAGTTTTCAGTCTATTGGACGCCTCGGAGGCAAATCTGAAGAATATTGGTTAACTGTACAAGAGTACAATCACATCGCCACATATATACTGTTGAATTGTGAAGAACTTAAGCCATACGAAAGGTACACATTTTTTAATCTTAGATGTGATTAGAAATTAATTAATTACACATATGCTAACAACATGTTTTTAAGACTTTTTGACGAGGACGTTTTGGCAACATATCCTAATCTAAGTGGGGAG